AGAGACATTTGTACATTCTAAATCCTTTTTTTCCCACTATTTTGTCTATTTAGATTTTTTCATTTTAGGAATTAAATTTTTTTTTTTTTTAATTTATTGGGTTGAGTTGGATTGAGTTTTAATTCATAAACCCCCCAAATCGATTTGTTTAGGTTGGATTGATCAATTTGAGCGGTTTGAATTGATTTTTTCACATCTCTTGCCGCTGCTACCTCAGCACCACCACAGTTGTTTCCACCCAACCACCCTTCCACCAACCACCACCACTACCTCATCGTCAAATCAACTACCACCTCCAACACACCACACCACACCTCGACCACCTCCTCCTCCAAATAAGGATACATGTACCACCACCGCACAACCAAAAATGCCGCTCCACCACCATCTACACCACACAACCACCACCAACACCTCCTCCTGAAATTCACCATCTCCTCCACCTCTGCCATACCACAACCACTAAATTCACCTCCACCTCTCCTTTGTACATATCACAGAACGACCATTTCCTCCACCTCTACCACCACACAACCTCTACATTTTCTGTGCACAGATTGCGTAAACTATCACCACAGATGCATGGGCGGACGCAGACCTTAAAAGTTAGGGGGTACAATCGAACTTGGAAAGAAGTTAGGAGAAATTTTACAATCGAAAATCTACGTCCAAAAAAATCATACCCTATGTAATTTTACATTCGAAAATTTACATTGGATACGACTTTTTCGGATATAAAATTTCAAAAATTTTAATGAAGAAAATTACATTAAGAAATTTGTATCGCAAAAATAATAAATGTTTATAAAATAATTGAATTTTATAAAAAAAAGTGTGAGTTGGATTTTTTTTTAAGACTCACATTTAACGTATTTTTAACTATTTTCGATATCTGTTTGAACTATTCAATATGCCCATAATATAATTTTCGAAATAAGTTTTGAGATGACATAAGCAATTTGTAGATTCGATTAGCGTACGATCGTCGGAGAATTTTTAAAATTTGTATGTTATCGAAATTCAAATTTATTGTGATTTTACCCCTATTTGATGGAGA